TTGGTCGAGATTTCTTATTATAATATGGGTCGTATAAGGATGGAATGGTCTAATGTGTGGGCGATATTGGGAGAACATTTTAATCAAGTGAGAAGAATTCTCGGTTTACTCTGCATGAATTTAAGAAAAATTTTTAAAAAATTTCATTGTAAAATTTTGTATATTTGTATATCAAACTCATGAACACCATAATAGGTTGGGTGTCATCCAAACATAAATATTGGTTTCTTTGCCATAGATTCTCTTCGTCAATTGGCAATGCAATTTTTGGCCAAGGAAGAATTACCACATTTCAAGTTCCAGAAGGACTTTCTGCGACCGTTTGAATATATCTTGATTAACAATTCGAATATTTCTATCAAGGATATGGTAATTTATGTTCCTTTCTGTCAAACGGATATTTCCTTTCTACGATTAATTCATGTACTCCGTGAGTAGGTTTTGCGTTGTATTCAGCAAATGATTCAAGCAAAATCGCACAACATCAAATCCGGTTGGAAATCCCTATTTGGCGTTTTTTCGGCTGCTGCGAGGGAGGACAATGGTTGTGTAACTTGCAGCATTTTTCGATTGTTTGACTTCTTCGACAACCCATGGATCTAATATTGCTTGACACTCTATTTAGAGTCGATTGTTGTGATGGCATTCGATCTCGTCAGATCGTTAATCAAAGATCAATTTGACGACGTGGTGTCCAACAGTAATTATCCAGATCTTATGGTTTGTCTCACCGAATTCAGTAAAAACAAACGTTTTCAGAAAACGAGGTAACTGTTATATTCGTCGATTTTCTTTTTTATCGTCAAGTTTCTTTTTTTTTTTTACTCAACGATTGACCTTTACCTTTCAACGGCAAGCCTTCAAGCGATTGAACTCATATGCGCTTCAATTCCAAAGATGTTGGATTATCCTCAATACAGGATTCATGAACCCGTCAATGGTTCGAATGGTGTCGAGGGCGTAGCTTCCAATAATAAGGTGATCACCAACGATGATCCGTCTTTCAAATTTTGGTATCCGTTATTATTTGGATTCCATGATGTTATAATGAACGGAGAAGACTTGGAGGTTCGAACGAGGTTGTTATTGATTTTAATAACTGAATTTTATTCCAAATTGAATATGGAATGTTCATCGATATTTCACTTCTTCATGTAATGCATGCAGGGCGTTGAACTCGATGTTTGACACGCTCAAAAAATTCGGTTTCACATACTCGCTGGAATTTTGGGGTGCAATATGTCGACAGATTCTCTTTCCCATTTTTGGCATTCTGAGATCTCGATCAGATATTTCAAAGTTTTCCAGTCACGAGGATATGAGCGTGTGGTTATCAACAACAATGATTCAAGCCCTTCGTAATATGATCGACCTCTTTACCCATTACTTTGATACACTCGAGGTCATGATCGATGGAATATTGGATCTACTAGGTTGCTGCATAATTCAAGGTAATTATGCTCACTTGTTGACCTGCGTTGAACTCTGATTATTGTTTTTTCTAATTGCATGGATCTATATACCATCTCATAAACTCTCAGAGAATGATACATTGGCTCGTATCGGGTGCTCTTGCTTACAACAATTGATTGTGGACAATGTAAAGAAACTTGATTACGACCACTGGGGAAAGATCAGTTCAAAGTTAGTCCAATTATTTGAGTCGACCACCCCTTATAACTTACTTGATGAAGAACGCCGTTTCATCGAAGCTGCTAATGGGCTGAATGGAATGTACAGCGGTAAGCAACTGAAGATTGATCGAGGTGAATTTTTTTTTTTTTTTACCAATCGCCTCATTTTTTAACGTGTCTAGGTCAAAATGGGAGTAGTGTAAACGGATTCGTTTCCGAGGTTGATCTAAACACGCGTTCAATGATCGAAGATAGTTACATTGATTCGGAACATTCGACGACGGCAACAATACAGCCCAATGAGCAACGAGCTCAAGAATTTAATCAGATCATCATCAAATGTTTGTTACAGCTACTTCTCATCGATGTTGTTAACGAGCTATTGAACAACGAATCGGTATATGAATCGATTCCTTCGGTACATTTGTTGATAACCGGCGAATGTTTGGAGAAATCATATCTTTTTGCGCGAAAATTCAACGAAGACAAAAGCTTGAGGATCGCGCTATGGAAAATAGGTGTGATGATCATGCACGCAAATAACGTTCTCAAGCTTCATCATCATTTATTTAATATTTATATATATCTATATCAATCATTTTCAGGATTTATGAAACAATTACCGAATTTGCTTAAGCAAGAGTCGAGCAGCGCGTCTTGCTATTTAAGTTTATTGGTTAGAATGTATCAAGATGATTCCGCGGAACGCAAAGAAAAGAGGGACATGATTGAACAGAAATTGCTACCGTAAGTTAAGGTTCATCACGCGGCTTGCGTTGCAATTTATGATAAAATTTGTTGAGATATAATTTATCTTTAGGCTTTCCTTGCAAATATGCAAACACTATAACTCGTTGGATCATGAATCACAATCGCGAAACATCAATGCCTGGACGCCTGTAGTAATTTCTGTTTTGAATGCATATGTCAATTTCAACAATGACGATGTATGTAAAATCTTTCTTAATTATACAAAAAAAATGAATTTTTTTAATAACCGTTTTTTTTTTTTTTTTATCGTCGTACTTACATTTTTGTTTTTTTGATAGCTTTTACGGTTTTTACCAGACTTTTATCCCGAAGCGATCGATCTATTGTCACACGACATACCCACAGCCGGTTTGCGACTGGCATTACGGGATTTATTTATGCGCGTTGCGTTATTACACAATTTAATTCCGGCATCAAATAGAGATAGAGATACGTCGGATACACAAAGTTATAATTCCTTAGATTATTGAAAAAAAAAAATTCCAAATTACTACTAATACTTTAATTCTATTGTTTTTAATATTTCACCCATTCTTGTCATCCTAATCTATAGACTAAATCATAATGCAAAACGATTGCCCGGAATTTTTTATTTTTTTCATTGTAATGAAGTTTAATAGCAATATCTAATCATGGCAGGGCAGATAATTTATAATCGTATGTTTCAATTAAAATTTGAAACTCAACGGTTCTGGAACAATTAATTAATTCAAGTCGTATCAGTTCAAAGTGTATATACATTGTACAACTAATTTCGTTTGTGAAAAGTATCAAGTCCTTTGTATGCCAAACAATATAAAAAAATATATATTTATGTATGGGATAATATACACTTAAATTAGAACATTAAACAATTACTTTGTAATGATAAAATTAGCAACAATCAACACCTCCTCATGCAATACGTAATTGTACATCTTTTCTTGGGAAATGAATCAAACCCCACCGAGCAATGTTTATGACACAATGAGAATATCAATCTCTTTCACGATGTAGTAGCTTAATTAAATTAGATAAACACTCTATAGAAACGAAAAATATTACCAAACTACGAGCCTTTACATTCGTCCTTAAGGGAATCCCACCTTGTTTATTGCACACTAAAAAATAACTTTGTGCGATGTTTTTTTAACGCCAAGCCGCCGAGTCCGGTAACACGGGTTTTTCAATAAAAATTGACGATGCTACTTTGACGAATGCGGAAATGATCTTACCTTATATAGTTCGTATAGTATACGTATAAGGGTTATAATGACCCACGAAGTGGATGGTGAACCGGACCGACGTACAAATTGGGATCAACTGATTTACCGGGTTTATTATTTATAACCTTGGCTATAGTACACACACCTTCATACTTTCATTACGGAAAAATCACCACTTTAAATCAAAAAAATAAAAAAATCAAAATAAACCAGAGGTCGATAAATCACGAAAATCAAAATTCCATTACATAATAGCCGAGTGAAGAGCTTATTGAACCCTACGATCATTAGGTTTCCAAAAAAGTGAGTGCTTCAGCATGAAAAGCTCGGCAGAATAATTTTTGAGCAGAATGTTTACATCCTTTTGATTTTATCGTCTCTGACGAATTCTCTGAAAATTTCTTCACGAAGACGAAATTGCGCATCGAGCGAGAATCATGTCATACATAAAAAAGATTAGGATAAGAAAATTCTGTGGTCTGGTGGAGCTACAGAAAGGTAAGAATTTATGTTGACGTTTGGTGGCTTCACAATTATTCAATGCTTTACGATCGAAATTGATAATCTTTGCCGTCTCAATCACACAGGAGTAATTCTGATAACCACATTTTCTCTGGTAAATTCATGTTTTTCAATCAAATCAATCAATTTTACCACACGCATTGCATGACATCACCTAACGTCCTCGAATGAATATGAACACTCATCTAGCTGAATAAATTATCGGGATTTTTTGGCATGTTTACAATATTTTATGGCGGAGACGCTATATCAATCATATCATTTTTCTATTCAATAATCGCAGCGGTGGCATTTGCCTACTTTCTTTATTTCGGCGTGCTAAGGGTAAGGAGAAATGCGTCAGTGAATTTAAGAGAATCACTTGACATAATTATAATCGTGCACCTCCCTTTTACTGCATTAGGAAGATCCAAGAATTCTCGGCTTTTATTCATTATTTTATTGGTTGGATTTGATTGTAAATATTCTATTCACGTTCGCATTTGAAGTTATGTGGTATCTTGTAATGGATCATGCACCGTTGCGTCCAAAAGAACGTGATAATGATGATACCATCTCGCCGCAAGGGACATCGTCACTGCCGGCATGGAAGGTCGAATCAACTATAGCCAATTTGATTTTGGCCTCGGTGACGGTTGTACATGTAAGCTAATTAATTGATTAATCTCTCAAGAAAATTTTGCCTCCACACCAACCACCACAATAATAACGTATTGATCTGTACTACCAAGATTTACTTCGGATTCGTGGTTCATGCTTACGCGCGTTTCATTGAAAAACATCATCACTCAACTTCTCGGACCTCGGGTTTTACTTTCTTAAAACAAGAGGTTGATAATAATCCACTTATAACATCGAGATATACGTCGGTGGAAGACGACATAGAATCGCAAATATGACACCAAACATCAATTATTCCAATTGGCCGCTTTTTATCAGCACAATCGACGATGCAGGAGAATGACGAACAATACGCATCAGAGTTACACTTGCACATTACATAGAAAAAAAAAAAACTATTCGCATGTATAAAACAAAGGTTAGGAGGAGAGTTGACCACACTCAAAAATTTTGATGACAGATTCCGGTGAACCATTGTCTAAAGAATCGAACGTCCCCAACTCCTTTACAACATTCCATCCTGTTGTCATAATAAAACCGAAAATTAATATCCGCGTGGAGAGAGAAAATTTTGAGTTATGGTAACGCACCATCAATTACATGACCAACGACGACCTGCACGTTGTTTAACCATTCGGCCTTGGAAAGATAAATGCAAAATTGCGAGCCACTCGTGTAATCACCTCCATGGATCATGGAAACAACGCCTGTGAAAAAATCCCTCATCCTGGTGTTAAATAAGATAAATCAACGACTTCCAAAAGTATTAGTCGGATGATATGTCCATCGCTCGTTACCTGGTCTATCATGTTTTAAGATGTAATTTTCATTTGGAAACAATTTCTCGTCATAGATAGATTCGTTCCCCGATCCATCGTTATTAATGTAATCACCACCCTTGATGTACCAGTTTGGAACAATCTTGAGTATGTTAGAACCACGATAGCCAAAACCCCTTTCGCCTGTGCATAGTACGCGAAAATTCTCGGCTGTTTAAATTATCGGAAAGGGACGTGGTTAAATGTGCTGTCGTGAACGATAAAAAAACAAGAAAAAAAATGGGATTTCGTGTAAACGGGTTGAATTCAAGTTGACGACTACCAGTCTTGGGAACCACATCGGCTCTCAGCTCAATAACAATACGCTAAATTTTAAATTAAAAAGGAAATGATTGTAATGATCCCTATATTACATGAAATCCATTATTACTATTTGATCTGTTCAATGACTCACGCCAAAATGAGAACCGTTGACATCAATGTCAAAAAAAATTCGTGGGTTTTTGTTCCTAATCCATATTAGCATGCATAATAAAAAAAAAAAAAATGAGTGAAAATGAAATTTCGCGTGGGAAACAAAAATATCCGCTAAACATTCACAGAAACCACATTATTCGGAAAATAGGCTAATGACTAGTTGTTCACATATGGGTTCAGTACAATAATTTGTTTTTAGAAAGTCAGATTCAAATGATCCTTTTAAAATATCATGTATCCAACGTTGTCATAGAAATTTCTGGTAATAAACTAGTAATCGTCGCTATGATTGCAATGATTGGCTGAGTAAACGAATAAATTTTAAGAATAGTGCAATTCTTTTCAAATGGTTTCAACATGACTATTTTTACTAGAAAATCCAGTTCCAACGGAGGAGGTAGTATTTGTTATCATGTTGTATGTATTGATAAGCTTCATCCGGTAATCCGAACCACAATGATTACATGAGAATAATCGTTTATTTTTTTTCAAAAATAAAAATTCTACAGGAAGGATTTTTCAATTGTCATTATTTTAATTCCGCAATAGATTTGGGTGAGAAACTGAAGCAACCTTCTTTGTCCTCGGAGCCGATTGTGGTTAATGTTTCCGGTCATCCAAAAGAAAAGGTTCGTGCGATTTTTATTCGGATTCCGAAATGTCGGGAAGAGTAACATTCTCACTTTTTAAAAATTTTAAAAGTGGAGCGAAAGGGTCAAATATTTGCAATCGGTAACTTGATTTCTTTGCTGTTAAAAAACATTTATACTGTCATTATGCTCATTCGACAAAATTCCATCAGAAAATTTCCAATTCAAGTAATCACAAAACGTCTCCATTCGTTTACGAAGGATGCAACGAAAAGGACTATAAGTTTATCGGTGGTTATTCGGATTTTGTTAGTTTCGTGAGAGCAAAGCATCAACACATAGACATACCCAAAGACGAAAGTAAAGAACATGGAAAGGAGTGTGAAGGCGGCGTTTGCAAATTATAATACCTACATAATGCTTGATTACAAATAATGATTCAATAAATAGCATATCAATCACAATTTTTTCACGTCAAAAGTTTTTTAAAATAATTTTTTTTTTAACACTGATCCATTTACAATTAAAAAAAAAGAAAAAACATATACAGTAATTATATCGTGACTACTGTATATTGATTTTGACTATATTTTTATAGTATGTTCGAATACATTGTTCATCAAGATTGCTATCTATCGCGCAACTTGTTATTTTCAAGAAAAATCAATTTAATCAGCATCGTGACAACATAAAACCAGTTTGCACTCTCTCCATTTTTTACATTTTACATTTGTTAATCAATCCATTATATAGTATCGTACTGTATGTACGTAATTCATGTAATAGTAATATGTCAAATTTTTATATTTTCAATATAAATTGAATTTTTCCATTTACATAAAAAAAAATTTTTTTTAATTAATAAATCAATATACCATAAAATTTATGTTTAAAAATAAAAAACTATTTAATATAAAAATTTTTTATCACATCTTGATAATATCTTGTGATATTTAATCACAGTTTATAATAAAATTTAATATGAATAAAAAATTCAAACCATTATTCCCATTTTTATTATGATATTGATTTTTTAATAATAGAAAACCTTTTTTTTTCCAAAAATATTTTCTTGATTTATAATAAATTTAAATATTTTTAAAAATAAACAATATGCAAATAAAAAATTATTATTTATAGATTCAATATTTGATAATATAACTAATTAACTTGTGAATTTACATAAAATCAAATTTTTCTTTGATACAAACTAAATTCAGTTTATATTATTTTTTTTTAATATAAATTATATTTGATTTGTATATTTTTAGATAAATTTGTAGAGAATATAATATGAATTTATGAAATATAAAAGATTTGCAAAATGGAAAAGCATAAAAAAAAGTGAATTTATGGATTTTAAAGAGAATAAGTTTGTGATTATAAGTTAAATAAATTTGTAAAATATAAGAAGCAAATTTATGAAATATAAATTCATAAAATATTAATTGTAAAATATAAATTGTAAAATATAAATTGTAAGATAAGTAAATTTATAAAATATAAAAATAGATAATAGATTTGCAAATATTATTTTGTAAAATTTAATTTGAAATATAAAATATTCAAATATATATTTTTATAGAGTAAAATACTTTAAAAAGTATTTTATAGTAATTAATATATACAATAATCAAGATTTGTATATATACCAATGATTTTTGATTTTTTAAATATAGTAAATTAAAAAAAAACATAATTAAATTAGTTAAGTACTAACCAGCCTAAACAATAATAATAATAAACAAAAAATCTATTTTTTGTTGATAAAAATTACTTTATAAAAAAAATCCAGTATTACAATATATAGTTTTATATGGACAGGCTATTAAATAAATAATTGTTATAGATATATATAGTCAACTTTTAATTATATTAATTATTTAATGAAAATTTTTATCAAATTTATAATAAAATCACATATGCAATCTATATACTATGAAAATTTTATTATTATTATAATTGTTATTGTTATTGTTGTTGCAAAAGTTTTATTTGATAAATAGATTTTCAAAAAAAATTTTGCATTTCAAATAATTTTGCAATAGTTGTTTAAAAATTTAAAAGACTATTGTTTTTTTTTTTTAGTCAATTGTTAGTATAGTAAATAACATTAAAAAAAGGAATTGAGAATTTTTTTTTAATACATATATTAATTAATTTCTGTTAATACAAATAACTGTACCTATATTTAATCTATGCAATACATTATTAATTTATAGAAAATAGAAAAAATATTTTTGTCATACAAAATTGTTATCGATATAAAAGTCAAATGAATATAAAAAAATTTTTTTTTTTTTACAAGATTATTTTATTTTTTCTTAAATCAACAAGAATCATATTAATTTTTGTGAATTATCTTTTAAATAATATTTATTATTATATGCTATTTTCAATTGTAATGTTAATATGACTATGATAATTAAAACACTTAAAAAATGATTATATTTTCATTATACATTAATAATTCGCTATTGAATTAAAATGACATTACAAGTGTACATATAAATTTATGCATACCTACCTATAAATAGAATTATTATTATCATTTTTAAAAAATAATTTAAATAAAGAGATTTATTTGTGACATGCAAATATGTAAGATTTTGATTTTTTAAAAAAATTGTTATTTTTTATTTTTAAATCAATATCTTGTGAAATTTCAATATTGCACATGGTACGTTAACAATAAAATTGAATAAAAATTCTTGTGACATTGCAATCCGGTTTCTTGTACATTGCATGTTGGTTGAGAGCATGGTGTCATGCGATTTAAATTTAATGTGGATTAAATTGTTCAAACAAGTCGAACGTGTCAAAACACGAGATTATTACGGATTTGATACGAATACTGCATGCTGTATGTTGCCATTATACTGTACAGAGAAAAGGCAATTATCACTTAATCATAATGACAATGCTAAACTAGATAAATAGTTATTGTATTTTTTGTTATTTACTTATGCAACATGAAAAATAATTATAAACAATACAATATAGATTCTTTCAACTTGTAACCCAAT